CAGGTATTCTTTGCCTTCCTGCAGACAGCAAAATGCGTATGTGTGTAAATTCACAGGTGCATGTATGACAATAGAGCTAAACCCACATATAAATACACACACAGATGAAAACACACAAATTCATCTGAAGGGAAAAAATGATGACTTTAAATACTATTACATGCCAGATTCTGCTCTTGATGCCAACAATCTTTTGCTCAATCCGAGGTCAAATTTATTGTAATTCAAAATAATTACCACAGTATTCCAAAATAGACCTTTGCTGGATGTGAGGTGCTATAAAGTGTGACTGGAGCCAGCCTGACCCCTACAGCTAACACCTAGTACTACACATCCACTTCAGCTCTACACATAAACTACATTGGCGCTACAGAACCTCTTGTTTTTCCTCAGTTTGGTGTTGAAAGAGCATGAAGAACACTTTTTGAAGACAGCTTGCTTTTGTTTGCTCATGGTTTGAGATACCCACTGCTGACACATTTCCAATACAAACAGTGTGTCCTGAATTTTATTTGTGGAAGAATTATATGAAAAGAAAAGTGCCTTTCTGTTAACAATGCACTGGTTACTCAGGATAATCGACAGATGGCGCTGTGAACAATTTACACTATACTTTTTACTCTTTTGTATTAAATGGTTTTCAGGAAACACTGGAAAAGGTTTTTATGTGTTAAAAGATGAAATCCCAGGCTTGGAGCACATTTTATTCTACAACATAAAAGGACTGGAAATGGATGAAAATCGCGTGTTTTATTCATCTCAAAGATACATAAGTGACCTCAATAACTCACTGGTTGCAACGTCTTCGCACTTTTAAATTTCTTGCAAAATGGTACGCGTTCTCAAAGAAAGGTTCTGCCTTGAATGACGTCTGCCTGTGATAATAGTTAGTAAGCAGCAACACTTTGTCTTGAAAGTGAAATATCTTTAAAAAATTGAGGGGCAAAAAGAGAAAATTAGGACATTCTTCCAAACTCATTGTGAAACGCTTCGTACTGCAAAGTTCTTGTGGTATCTTTTTTTAAAACTGAGTCCAATAGGCAGCACTCTCATCTCTCTCTCATTTATTAGATGACTATATGACCTCAATGATCTGCCCAGTAATTAACATTCCTATCGGCATGACCTGTCTGTGTGTGTGCGTGTTAATGCAAGTGTCCATCTGCTGATTAATGGCATACAATTCAATTTGCTCAGAATAATTAACTCAGCAGATTCCCGCTTTAATGTGGTGATAACTCATCCTCAGCGTCTGTGTGTCTGTGTGCGTGTGTGTGTGTGTCTATGTGCGTGCGTGTCGACTGACCTGGTTTCTCTCGGTACTGAACAGGTAACTTGCCATGAGCTGTAGAGCCTCAGGGTTGTCATGGTGATACTGTAATGCTCGCTCAATGAACTCTCTGCACTTGTCTGCAGCTCCCTCTTCCATGCTACATGCACACACGCGTGTACACACACACACACACACACACACAAAGAAAGACAAATCTCAGCTCATTATCATAGCAGTGACGTAAAATGGGGTTATAAGCATCAAGAGTGCAACTCTGTGGTCTCCAGTACCAGAGGTCTGTTAGGTAAATCTCGGCGATGGAGCAGTAGGCTACACAAACATCCTTCGCTGTGGGGAGCTCGGCGTCCTCATCTGGAGGGGCAGCAGCTGCAGCCTGAGCCTGCTTAAAGAACAGAGGGCAGATGTCTTGAAAGGTGTCTAAAGTTCTAATGAGGGTAATTAATCAAAGCACAGTAAACATGGCATGAACATTTCTTTTAATAATAATCAAGTTATTTCACAACAGAAAACTGCACAACTTCCCTATATTCCTCGAGAAACTCCCTTTGAGTCTTACAGGGGACATTTTGACATGTCACAGCAGGAAAAGCACAGGTGGAAATAATCAAATTAATGGCAGATGAATTGCATTTAGCCGCTTCGGTTTCAGGGTCATGATAGTGTCAATGCTGGCTCACTGTCACGCTTAGTGGGACACTTGAATAAAATGGAGCCATTGTTAATGTTATTAGTAACAGCTGTGCTTTTCCTCCTATGACAAGTCAAAATGACTGCTGTGAAAAAGACCTATACTGATTTGAATTATAGAATTAAGAATAGCCCATGCCTTTTCCTTGTTATACATGACACATGCTATGAAAGTTACAAAGATATTGTAAAGTCAAACATTTTTACATTATTCCTTATAAATACTTTAAGAGTAGTTATTTAAATTAACATCAATAATAAACATGAAATACTGTAATAAGACAACCTGTGAATTCCATTGGAAAAAACAAGATACTGATTACTGATTAATTTCACATCTGAAATATGTCCTGTTGTATTTTCTCCTTTGCTTTACTTTTTCCCATCAGTTTATTTCTAGTTCAATTTTTAATTTTACTACATTTAATATTATTAATATATGCCATGTATGCTAAAATATTCTCTGGATGCTTCCTTAAATAATTCTTTGAGCAAAAGTCTTGGGTAATTTGGAAAAATACTGTTTTCGAATATTGAACAGACAAAAAACAAAAAAGTAGCCAAAATCAAAAGAAAAGATAGAAAAACATCCTCTGGATACCTAAAACCTGTGTGTCAACCCAGTGCTGTAAATGATCCACACAATAGCTCACGATAGCAACAGCTCTCCTGTGTGTGAGTAATGCTAGTCCTTGGATGGTGATTTACATCATAGCGATTACGTTCCTGAACACAGGAATACTGAAATCAAATGTTTGGTCTTGTTTTGACAATACTAATAAATTCAGACACATCCAGAGTATTTTGACAGTTCTTGGAACTTCTGAGGACTCGAGTAAACTTCAGACTACCCAACAACAACTCCTGTCCTATGGCATACTTGATGCAAAGACATTTATACTGGTACTCTGCAAAAAAAATAAAGAAACACCATCACTCATACAACAGCAGACCACATTAACAGAGACTTTGGAGGGCATCAGATATGTCCTTTGTATTTGGAAGGGACGAACAGCTAAGTTAGGTGCAGGGTGATTAGGAGAGGGAGAGAAGGAGAGGCTTGTGTAACAATATTGTTCCATCTGTCTATCTGTGTTTGTATTTTGTATATGTGATTGGATTTTTTGTTGTATTCTCTTACATTGCTGTACATTTGAAATAGGAATTGCCAAAGGACCACGTGTTTACATTTTTATTAAATACCAGTTATTGCAGATTGGTGACACAAAGTGTTTCCAAATTACCAGTAATTTAGATGTGATTAGTAACATTTCTAATGAATAATGAAGCATAAGTGGCTGTAACACTACAGGTAACTATAATAACTATGTGCTGAGCATGTCCACCAATTCATTTATCGGTTGAATTAACGTCACTCAACAGATGTCTGTTATGACAAGGTGACATGTATGCGATAGATAGATCGATAGATAGATAGATAGATAGATAGATAGATAGATAGATATTTCAGAAATTGATCAACAGCACCCTCTTGTGAAGCTAAATACCATTACACTAGCGTTAAGCCTTGGGTGCATTAGCATTTCTCCCTTGTATGTAAAAGCATGAGTATGAGTAAGTATGTATAACGAAGTAAACTATAGAGGGAATGTGAGTGTGTATGGGGCTGCACTCACTGTGGTCTGTACTTGTTTATCCAATGCAGATAGCAGGACTTGTATCCCCTTGGTGTAGTAGTCCACAGCCTCCTGGCCTGTGTGGATTTGTCCCAAGTACATGTACTTACTGTGGCCTACATCTGGGCTCAGCTCCACTGCACGCAGAAAAGCTTAGACACAATTGGTCAAGGATGCTCACTCCACTCAAACCGCATGGGAATATAACAGTTTTAGTTCCTGACATGCACACAACAAGGAAGAAGAAACCTGCACAAAAAGGATATTCCCTTAGCTTTCTGTGTGTCTCCTAGCTCAGAGCAAATGTGGCCCAGCATGTCTAGAGCTTGCAGGTTGGCGGAGTCCAAATCCAGGGCTCGTTGACAGAAGAGGCAAGCCATCTCAAAGTCAAAGCTGTCCATGTATTCCTCTGTCTGTATAACAGATGATCACATGACATCATAAACATGCAGTAGAGTTAAAGGAGCATTTTAAAAAAGCATGACAAATCTGGGGCATGTCTTTGTTGTGGATATCTTGTCACTGTTACCTTTTCTAGGAGCTGTCTCACAGAGTACTTCTCAGCTGTCTTCTTCTTGGCTTTTTCATGTACTCTTAGTTTCATCCTTTCTTGAGGTGACAAGCCAACAAATCCTGCATCACCTGTAATTAAGTAAAGTGTCAATATTACTTTTGTCTCATTTGGTCTCGTAGAAAGTTAAAATCAAAGCACAACAGGTTAATTTCTGTTAGCTGCCTGAGAGGTTGATGTAACACACTGTAAATAACTAGCAAAATGTTGAATCACTGAACATAATTACTGTTTGGGCGGCTGTCTTTCCTTTTCGGTTTGCTTTTCTTTTTTCCCTTTGACTGTCCTCCCATAGTGGTGACAAATATGTCTTATATTTTCACAATTTCTACCCTCAAAACAGACTTTTACCAAAGTGTAAGCCTTACACACGCGTGGAAAGCAAGTACGGCTGAGCTAAAGGAGTGCAGTGCGCATGCTCTAAGCAGTGACTGGGTGGCTGCTACGGAAAGAGGTAGTGGACATAATATGAGCGGTTTTGAAATAACCTTTTTTGGCACTGAAGCACAAAAAGAGGTAATTTAAACCGTCCGACTTTACCACAAATGTCATTTTAGACTTAAGCTTTAAAACTGGAAGAACATTAAATGTCCATTATTTGAACTTTCTTTCTCCAAGGTATTGATTTCGTAAGGCGGGCTTTAAATGAATTAAACGGTTCCCTGTTTGTGGGCGGGTGCTCATCATGATTGACAAGTCTCTCGACCAATGAGATACCGCGTTGAAGCTGTACCCCTTGACGCATCTGGAACTTTCTTGATTTCAACCAATGGGCAGTCACGTCAAATGTACGCACCGTTTTTTTCTTTACAATTCTGTTGTAAATAAACGAATGACAGAGACGCTGTTGATAGTGAAATTGCTACCAAAATATATAATAAATACGGAATCCCAATACTCGACTGTCTAACAAGGTAATTAAGCTTTAACGTTATCGAACTAATGGCATACAGTATGAATTCATACAACGGTTATCGGCATCGCTGTGCCGTAAGTAGTGACTGAATGACAAAGCAATGAAAGATTAGCTGCTAGTAGTGATGCTAATGCTAACTGGTGACATTACCAGTCCAACTCAGCTCTTAATACATTTCACTGACACAGTTTTTTCTAAACAGTTTAATAAGGTAACAACGCCTCCACAGAAAAAGCTAACCGTTACCACACTGTCAGTACTAACCATCCGGTGTAACTATTTGACGTTAACGCTACGGTTAGCCTTCTCGTATGTTAATTATACGAGCGAGTCTGTGGCATTACACTGATGTACAAACTACCATTGTCGCCTTAGATATGCAATGAAGTTATCTGTGCTAAAAATTGTGCTCCCTTATAAGCAGTGACATTAGCGTATGCCTTTGTCCCGTTACTCTGCAGGCTAGTGTGGCTACGTTGATGTCACTCCTACCCGCCAGTTTGCTGCCAGCCACTAAGGGAAGACTGTGTCGTGCAACACAGGTAGCTTGTGGCCAATGCCACAGGCTCGACCTGCAGAGAGAAGTGGACTATCATCCTCGGAAAGGGCTTGCAAGTTGGCCTCAACAGACTTCTCTTTTCCCCTTTTGGCTGTTGGGACTGAAGAAGGAGCGCCTGTGGACTCACCAGCAGTAAAAAAAATTGTCATGTCGGAGTTAAATAAAGAGGTGGTGGATCTGGTTTGGGGGAGACCCTCCAGTGGAGGAGTGTCTGCCTCTATCTTCCGTAGATGGACCCAAGGTATAATGCTTTGTCTCAGTATGATGATACGAATGAGAAGGTTTTTGTAGAGCAGGGTTTTCATCCATGTGCAGTGGGGAGCCAAGTGTATCCAGGTTTTAATTCTAACAAAGATTACAGCAGGTGATTTCTTTTGTTGGGTCATCCTCTCTAGCTGAAGTTTAGATAAGCAGTAAAATATCATGCTGTTGTGTATGAGGTTAGAATGATCATAATCTGGACGATCAATGTGAGCATGCAAGAACCTGTGGAGCTCTAATGTGTGAGAGTTGAAGTGTCTAAAATGCTTTTTATTTCTATGAATTTTTTAAGGTTTTTGTCTATGTCTTTACCACAGGATTTGTTTTTTGTGAGAATGAGCAGACGGCACTGGAGCAGTTTGAAGGAGGGCCGTGTGCTGTCATTGCACCTGTCCAGGTATGGTCTAATTCAACCTCTTTGCAGTATTATCAGAGCTCAGTCTCAATTTCCTTTATATTCCCTAACTATTGAGCCCCCAAAGACCTCAGTAAGAACATTCTCAGCAGGTGGAAGGGCTTAAAATTATATTGTGAAGAATTAGTTTGCAACAGTGCACTATCTCAGAATGTAGATCTTCCACAAGATCACTTGGGGATTTTACAGTGAGCTAGCTTTTAAAAATGGCAGACTGACTTGGAATCAGCATCTTAGGGTCTTATAGGTATATACATTGGTGGCAATGCTGATTTGACAGATACAGGGTTGATCATATATAACAAAATGTCTTAAAAGTCTGTCAAAACGGACAAGCAAGTGTAGCATATCGCACCATAGAATTTTTTCCTGCAAATTTAGAGACTGAAATTGTGTTTCTTTGCAGGCTTTCCTCTTAAAGAACATTCTCTTCAACAGAGAAAGTCCCAACTGGAGACAGATGACAGGTATATTCTCCACAGAAAAGTCCAAACCATTGTTTTTCCTGTTGTTCATGTCGTTGTAGGGCTTGTTAAATCATGCATTTTTTATGTTTGTCTGTTAGAGGAGGAACAGAAAACAGCCCTGTGTTCCACACTGAGTGAAATCTTGGAGTCAGCCTGCTCCAGTCCCTCCACAGGGTTCTGCCTGGTGACTTGGGCCAAGGGACAAAGCCCTCATACCAGCACACATACTAACACACAGACGCAGACACAGACACAGTCACAGTCGCAAACGCAGGACATGCCAGCACCAGAGAGCAGCCAGCCCCCACAGGAACAGCAACCCAGTGAGTCCTACGTCTGTCACATACAGAATGACAGTGCACAAACAAATGCTCACTTTTTCACCCAAGCCTCATCTTAACCTTTAATAGCAAAATTAGTAACTTTTAACGATGAACGTTTTAACAGTGTGGACTTTTTCTGTGACATGCTCCAATACTACAGTGTGTGTATGTTTTCTTGTGCGTAGCTGCTTTGGCTGCCGAGGACCTTGGCTTTGAGCGATTTCACAGTGTTCTCCAGTAAGTGGCACTTAATATTCTCACTGCAGATAACACCTTGCATCTTTACACTCATGACTGTCTCTTCCTCAAGGCAGATAATCCTGACATTAGATAATACTGTGGGTTTCTGGAGGGATTACCTCACAAATCCTTGTTTTGGCAATTGCCAATATGGAGTACTGAGATAGAGAACTACATATTTCTCTGAAGATAGTGTCAGCGGAGGCGAGGGGAGGGGTGCTATTTGATTCATCTAGCCTGCAAGGATTGGCTTTCACATTGAATTAGCTATTTCACTCTGCTCAAAAGTTGCTGACTCAGCACTTTTCACTGATTGCCTAATAAAAAAAACTACCTCTCACTACCTTTCTTACACACATACTGTCTGTCACACACGCACAAACTAAGTGTATGCACAACTGCATTTGCCAGAGGAATATTGAAATTTCATCACACACTATACTGGCAGCTGAGACCACAGTCAGCAAAAAAACAGTGCTGACTCACAGTGAAGAAGTGCATGCTAACTAAGACGGACAACCTCACTAGCAAGCTTCCAGGGTGGAGCAAAAGGAGGCAGTGGCTCCACATAGACAATATCACATTTTTCTTTGCCCTCTGTTGCTTTTAATTGATTTCTTCCTTAGTGTGAAAGTTATCTTAACCAACCTGGGGGTATAAATACAATTAATACATCAGTCTTATTGATCCTAAAACCAAACTAATGTTTTGTCTTTTGAGTGTTTCATTAATCAACCTGACATTTGTTCCCCACCTGCAGTAAGCGGACCGTAATGTCAGTGTCTGGTCTCAGAGAGGAGGTGTTGTCTCTTTACCACACCTGGAGGGGGTGCTGTGGAGTTTTGCTTTTCCTCTACTCCGTCATCCTCACCAAGGTAAAAAGAAGAAATAGCTAGATAGAGAAATGGATAGACATTTTGAATACTGATAGGAAGTAATGAGATTGAGGATGTTGTCTCTGATGGTACATATTCATCAAGTAATTTTAATGAGGTGATAAAGAAATGATATTTTTAAAAACCTGAAACACAAGATTTTTTCTTCTATTAATGAGCTTTTAATGAGTATGTTATATCATTTTAAATAATGTTTTCCTGTGTGTTCTATCTATGTTCAAATACACAAAAATTAAATGCACATTTATCTCTGTTGTGCAGGGCATAGAGAATATAAGAAATGAGATCCAGGACACGATGGAGCCTCTCATAGACCCTGTGCATGGCCACGGCAGGTATAAAAACACTTCTCTTGTAGAGTTATAGATCATTGCAAGGTCATTCTTGTGTGGCAAAGCATACAGGATACAGGATACCTTATAGTTCCTCTGAAACTGCTGATTTCTCCTTTCTTATCGTTCTTTTCAGCCAGAGCCTGGTGAACCTCCTTGTAACTGGCCACGCTGTCTCTAATGTCTGGGATGGAGACAGAGAGTGCTCTGGCATGAGTAAGACCCCCACAAAGTTACTGCATATTCACACAACAGACACATGCACATGCATCACACTCACAGAGCTCAATTTTGTTGCCTCATACTAAAAACCATATCCACCAGAGGGCAATCATTCTTAAATCCCACAGCACAAAAGGCACAAATTAATGCCAGTTTGACGCAAGTTAACTTATTTCAATTCTGCTGCTCCTTTTTTCTCCCTGTCTTGTAGAACTGCATGGTATTCATAAACAGGCATCAGTTGGCTTCCTCACGCTCATGGAATCACTACGCTACTGCAAGGTACAGATGCTCAAAGGTTCTTAAAACATGTAAAAGCAAATTGTTCAATAGTTTTATGGCAGATACACAGAGGATTTGTGGATGTTTTTATTTTTTGATGAAGATTCTATTAATTGATATGAACACCCACTGTACATGCCAAGAGAATACAAATAAACACACAAATGCTGTTAACTTGTGACTGTGTGGGACACAATTCAACGTGTGAACACAAACCTCAGTGAGAGCTCCCGTGTGAAAATATGTGTTTGGACAATTGAGTCCCAACAGACTAACTGTAATCCCTGTCTCGCTCTTTCTCACTACGTTTATTTTCTGGCACACATTTACCTAAACACAAATTTACCAAAAATAAGTTACAAAGGAGACTTATAAATACTTGTGGCATGACACATTTTAGTTATCAAGAAGGAACAACAGGAATCTTGGCTATTTATTTGTTATTGCCAAAATAAGCAAGCCCAGAGAAAGCTGGAGTGAGACATGAACTCTGTAAATAAGCAAAGTAAGCAGCTATAAAAAGTTAATAGCAAGTAGATGGTTGCCAAAGAGAGTTGTTAAAAAGTGATTTAAGAGACCAAGTCATATCAAATCAGAAGAGGTCGGCTCATATGTGCACTGTTTATATATTTGATTTATTGTTCCTGTAAGAAAAGTTCAAGCTGCATATGAAGAATAGCCAACGACTAATAAGAGAAGAGCCAAGTGAAAATTAGCTGTGTATTGATATTGATAATATACATTTCATTACGTAGTACTATTTGTTAAGGATCCAGAGGAGCAACATGATGCTCATTAGCGGTGGGAATCACAGAGTAACTCACAATGGGATACTATCATGTTGCCTATGATGGCAATGGTACCACGATACAGTGATGCTAGATACATTGCAAGACAATCTTCCATGATACATGACGATTCTGTGTAACTGCAGAAGAGAAATTACCCCTTAAAAGGCAAAAAGAAATCAGGAATTATGTATGTATTTACTGTGTTGCTGTGTCCGTTTCACAGAATTTGACAACTGAGTTGAAACAATGTGTAAAAGGTACATTAGAGTCTTGGCTTAGTGGCTCATTAACACAGGTGTGGTAGCTTTAGCTGTTTTATGATGAATCAGGTGGCTATACATGTTCACTGTGTTGCCCATTTACATTATTTTCACTAGACAGTTGTTGCAAATCTTATAGTCTTTATTGATATTGTCTGCCCTATCTATGTTGTAAAAGTCAAGGTGGACCTAGACTCTCACTTTAGTTTGTTTTCCACCGCTGTCCAATTCCACACTGTCCGCCATTTTCCCCCCTGTGATTTTCTTTACCAGTGGAAGTTAGTTAACTCCCATTCACTTTACCCTCATTCATTTCATAAGTACCACCACGAGGAGTCATGAAGTAGTGACTCTGGTAAGTCAAATTGGCAGGGGAATGCATTAAGAGGGCCTGCATGTTTTCATAAAAATATCGATATTTGGCACGAGTTCATTGACGATGTATCCCAAGAGGACGTAATACAATATATTCCCTTGATGACATTTTGTCCCACCCCTACTGTTCATATGCTGTGTCATGTAATCTCTGTTGAATTATTAATGTTCTTCATGAAAAAGACTTAAGTTAACCTTTTAACAATTACTGATAAAAACAACTATAAATAGACACTCATTCTTTACACATTCCTTTCTGTGTGTGTGTGTGTGTCTCAGGTCGGGGCATTCCTCAAGTCTCCAAAGTTCCCTATTTGGATCCTTGGCAGTGAAACTCACCTCTCTGTGTTTTTCACCAAGGCAAGTTCAATACGCTCATCTATAAGCAACACACATTTCACTCACACAGACACACGGTGTGTAACATCAGCCAAGTCTCCTCAGCAGGTTTGAAAAACCAAAATATGGAATGCGCTTAAAAGATTTAATATAGTGCCGGTCAGATATCAATGTGGGGGGAAAAGAGAGGCTGAAAGAAAGGGGAGGGAGAAATGAGCGCAGGAGATAGTCATATATGGCCGGGGCTGTTTCTTGGCTTTTCACCTATCCAGCATTGAGGAGGAAAGAAAAGCTCTGTTTCCAAAGAAGAACTTAACAAGTGCAGGCACACACACACACACACACACACACACACACACACACACTTTTCATCTTCATGCTCTCTCACTCTCACGAAAACACGATTTTAGTTTCTCAGCCATCTGTGATCAACTAAACAATGTGTAGTTCATAATATATGACCGTGATGTAAACTGCTGAATTTGAACTCCAGTGAGAGCCTCCATTTACAACAGTACCGCTGTCTACCTTCACTGTCAGGTTAATTCCAACAAAATAGATCACACATTTTTCTGTCCTGGCACTTGTTCATAAGATTTTTTTTTTGTCCTGGGAACTAAGAAGCCGCTGAAACAAAACTCAGGAACTAAATCACAAACAGTTCTTGTAGCATTTTCATGTTCAAGTTTCCACAGCATCTCAACAAATGTTAAAAACTTATAAACAAATGTCATATTTGCTGAAATTGTCTCTATGTTCACACAGCACTAAATGAGACAGATCATCTGTGAAAATATATGATGTTCCTTTGCCTACTCTATTGCCCTGTAGCACTTCTAATGGCCTTACTGCATGTGGAAGAAGAACAACTAATGAGAGCTGAGGAGTCTCTAGCGCAGCTTTCAATCATGTCAATCACAGCTTGTGAACTGTGGTCAAATTGTCAAAGGCAGCGCTGATCAAATATTAATAAAGATTCTGTAAGTGCATTGCCTAATTCTCACATCAAATGTTTTCAGAAACACATTATATTGTACAGTTTAGCTGTAAAACAAGGAAGTTGGTCTGGCTGGTGGGAGGTGCTTAGTACTGTGGTGGACTGCATCCAACATGGCAGCCATGGTGGATGCAGTCGACCACATATTACACAAAGTTATTTTCATAAAAGTTACCAACTGTAGCATTAAGAATAGGAAAAGTGGACTATGATTTAAGAGCAACTGCTTAGTTTGAGAAATAATTAAGCATGGAATAAGACAACACGCTGTTGTTTGACTGGACTTTAGATGAACGTCAGAAAGGAGATGTTAAGAGATAAAAGGAGAGGTTCAAAATACCAAAAAGGCAAGACATTTGACTAGAAAGAAGTGAGGATCTTGCTCCTCAATGTTTTTCTGGGTCATTCTCCATATTAGTACGTAACCACATTGACAGCAATCAACAAACAGTTCACCCAGTGTCTGGTTTATAGGTAGATTAATCGTTTACATGTCAGTAACATTAAACAAAAATCCCATCTCCACCCATATTATAGTACTAACAATGACTTGCAAAGAAGCTGGATGACTACTCTTTTAAAGTTGTTGCTTTCTGGAGGCATGTGTTTGACAAATATGTAACATTCTGAGCTGCAGAATGCACAATTGAGCCATCAGAAAGTACCACATCAAAGTAGCATTTGGGTGCAAGGAATTACGGTCCAGGAAAGAAAACTGGAACCAGCCTCATATGATCAAAATGCATGAAAAATATCTAGACTTCTTAAAAGGGTTCCTGAAAACATCCTACAACATCAACTCAAATATACACAACACCACAGGGTATATAATCGAATGCACGCCCTTATTGAGGTCAACCTTGCTGTTGTAACTTTGAGAGAAACTTTACCTCTTGAGTAGAAGTTTGAATCATCAGATCGCTGTGCCAGTTGGGATGTGTGTGTATACATGTGCACACACTCATCCAGTTTGCACTCAAACAAGCATGTTTATCATCTCTATCGGTGAGCATGTAACATGATACATTGCTGTAGCCCAAGCAGTAAAGCTGGCAGGTTTGGTTGTAGCAAATCGATTCTCCCTGCTGTTGTGAAAATGGCACCAGAGAGGCAGAAAAATCCCAGGCAATCATCTCCATCATAACGCCACACCCTTAATATACCATTGATTAAAAGCTCAGTTACATGCATTACGCTCAGGCCTGCTAGGAGAGTGGATCATGTGTTGGCTCAGTGAAGAACCAAAGTCGTCATGCATGTACTGATGACTTACCGATTGCTACAACTCCCCCGGCACTAGTGACATGTTCACATATACACACCACACACACACACACATTCCAGAGCACAGGGAACCTAATCCTGATTAGCATTAGTGTTGTGTGCGTATGTGTGTGTGGTTTCAGGTGGATGGCTTCCTGTAGGGAATGTGATTCCAGAGTTCCCATCTGGATCCATTTGTCCCACTGGAGACTGGGAACACTCTTGAACACACACACGCATGCATATGTAGTGACGTATATGGCTGACGCTACACTTAGCCGCCTTTACAACTTTGAGCCCAAGCTGAAGGGGGAAGACTTGGGGCAAGGGCGCTCTGCTGGCAGAACGCACTCAGTGTGACCCTGTCCTCCTTGAAAGGAAATCTATGTTTGGAGCTAATTTGAAGCACACTGCGATTTCCCAGGCTTGGTGATACAAAAATACACGCTACCTGGTTATGTAGCTTTTAGCTCCGATATGGAGCCATCCCCACAAAAGCAGAAAACCTGATCCCCGCCTCTGATGTGTCAGCGGCTCCTTCTGTCTGCCATTGGGGACGGGTGTGTATTCCCCCAGGCCACTGTCAGTGTGTGACTGTGGCTTTCAGACCATCAGCTTAATAGCATTAGTGTTTTTATCTAATCTACCTACACAAAGGCCATTCCACCATCTCTGATCCCTACCCACAACACCCCCCGCACTCTGTGTCCTTGGTTGTATTAATGTGTGTGTGTGCATGTGAGAAAGAAGCTGAGTGTGTATAATGGCATGTAATGGGATCTGTTTTTGGACAAGAGTTTCTGAGACGCCAGAGGAAGGAGAAAAAGGAAGAAAGACAGACAGAGAGTGAAGGAGAAGAGGGATGGGTGATGTATGAGACACATCGTGCAGTATATTAAAAAAAAAAAGAATCTTTCTTCCTTCCTGTTCCTCCTCTTGTCTTTGAAGTAACTATTCACTCCAGTGTGCAGTAGGTTGCTTGCCCAAGTGAAGGATTCCCTTGTGCACCTCAGCTAACCTCTTCAGATTATTGGTCCCTCATGGGAAGGAAAGAGGAAGAAAGGAAGTAGAAAGGAAGGATGCACTTTAAAGAGTGGTGCAGTGGTCACTCAGGAAAGGGGGGGTCCTCCTGTGACATTTCTCATCACTCTTTCCTCTCCTCTCACTGAGTGATGAGGTTCACAGGCTGTATCTCTGCTTCTCAAGGGAGTTACATGTGTGTGTTTTGTGTGTGTATGTGTACAGTAGTTGTGTTCAGGGTCAGTGATTTACTAGGAGACAGAGCAGCCGCTGTGGCGCTTTGTGTCCCTTAAGACTCCAGCGCCTGTCTGCAGAATGTCCTTCATGGACTGGTTAGGAGCAGGAACTTATAACACAAGTTAATGTGGGTCACTTTCCTTCAGTGAGGCTTTATCGGCAAAACCACAGTAAAATTACGATATTGCCAATATGGCAGGGTTAATATCGTTGAAAATAATTATAGTAACATTAGAAATATTTGGGTAATAAAATAAACCTTTTTTCCAGAGCTTTTGACTCCATCCTGCAACCTTCCTCTGTCATTAGAAGTTGTTTAGGGGTCGAAAGACGTTTTCGGACGAAACAGTTCTGGGGACTCCCTGAGAGGAACTGCCCACTGGGGAGCATCCCTAAAACCTACATAACCTCAGGGCCTTTTTTTTTTTCTTTTTTTTCTCATTTTGCATTTGCGCCACCAATAACAACACTGAATTGCTGTACTATAAGCTGCCAGCCAAGCAGTTGATATAGCAACATCACTTTTGCTTTGACCAGTCAAAATCATGTTGTATTTCCACCGTCATATATTTGCTCAGTAAAGCCTGGACTTCACTTTTGGTCCATTTGTCCATGTTTTATTCCATTTTTTACATTACAAGCTTTTGTTTGTGTTTTGCGTTGTTTATACAGCTAACAGCAGCGTTCCCATGGTCCTGGAAAACCTGGAAAAGTCATAGAATTAGTAAAAATCCTTGAGAGTTTTGGAAAAGGCATGGCATTTTATTGTGTGGTATAAAACTAATTGTTAGAGCAATCTCCTGTGGATAACCTTCTATATAATGCGACATAAGATTTGTAGCTGTTGATGTAATGTAGCTCTGCTTTGCGTAGCTATGCGTCAATTGTTAACTATTTGTTTACCATCACATACATTTCTTCATTTTCTCCCCAAGTTCGGTCTCTTCCTCCATGTATGCCAGCTAGCTTGAATTATGTCTGAATAGTTTGAGTCTGATACATTTCAATAACACCAGGCAAGTGGGGCAAGAAAAATAATGTTGTGACAGCGTGATTTAACATGTAGGGTCACGAATCCCAAAGTTTCTATACTTAAGCCCCATAGTTTTAAATTGTACAGCATTTTTGAGATCACGCAGTTGATAAGGGCAGCCCGAGGCCGTTCAATTGTCACTTGGAGCGCTAATGCACATGTGTCAGCCCTGTGATAGTATGGTGACCTGTCCAGGGTGTAGCCCGCCTCTCGCCCAATGTCAGCTGGGATAGGCTCCCAGCGACCCACAACAGGATAAGCGGCAACAGAAAATGAGTGAATGCTCTGAAAGCAGAGAGTTCTTTTTTTCAATCAAAATAACCAAGCATCCAAAAAAGCTATTGTATTTATTTAGTATTTTCTGGCAAAGTTATGAATTTATTTTATTTTTGTCTTGTAAATTCATGACTTTAATCTTGGAAATTTTGAGTTTTTTCTCAGAATATTACCCCCTTCCCCCAGCTTCTTATA